GGGGAGCCTGGTGCACTCCCGTTATGCGAGGGGTACAACGAAGGACCGGACCACAAGGGTCTATTATACGCAGCCTTCCCCGCATTTCTGCACGAGGCTGTTTCCACGGCTCAAACCCATAACCTACTGGTCACATGGCATCAATATTACCAGTTACACCAAGGTTACCCTTCCTGACCTAAACACAACGAAAAACGCCCTTTATTATTACATGCTAAAGCTATTTTACAATGTTTGTCTAACACCATAGTGTAGCTCGTGAAACTTGAATAGGAAATTCAAGTTACAATAGGAGATATTGCTTCCTCCATCAGAAAGAATTTACAGTTTGTTCACAACAAAACCCTAGGAACTGACTATAAGTAACCAACTATGCAGCAAAGCTATACATTAGACAAGCACAACAACGTTGTTTATTTTTCCTCTGGTTCTTTAGGTTGGTGAATTGCTTCCAAACACTCTTTGGCTCTATGAACCTTTGACTGAAGGTAAAAACTACCGTTTTTGGCATTTCGCTCAAACAAGTTTTCATATCTCTGCAGATAGAGCAAGCAAAGTCGAGGTCACGCGCACACAAATAGCAGCATCAAATAGGAAAGATCATTACACGAAACAAACCTGAATGATTTCTTCCCATGATGAATTCTCAGTGACACCGAGAATCTGCCTTGCTTCTGTTTCAGTCATGGTTTTACTAGCTCTTTTGATATTCTGCACCGCTTCTTGAGCAACCCCGTTTTTAGATGCATCTGTCATCATTCGCAAAAGGAAGTGTAAGATAGTATTGATTTGCATGGAAGTAAGATAATCGAACCACGTGGAATTCGAGTGCACGAGTCAGAGATCTAGATGAGAAATGAGAAGAATCAACATGAAAGTCGCGATGCCCCTTTTCTTAACACTGATTTACATATTCTTGGATTGAACCTTCGGGTTCGCGAAGTGCTAATTGGAATGAACTATCTCTCATGTATAAAGCAAGAATAGTGATGTACCAATGAAATGTTTGTTTACGCCAGACTCTTCAGATTAGTCGTGTATCAATTCATTGCAAAATGACGGGAAAAAGTGGATAAAAGATACTAACTCGCCAGTGCCTGACGATATGCTTGAACAAAGGACCTCGCCAATATTGTAGAGCCCATGACAATCAAATTAGCAAGGATTTTTGCAGCCTGTAACAAGAACATGAACTTTTACTACAATATTCAAAATAATTCTTGTTTGCTTTCACATATATCTGAATATACCGCAACCACAAGGTTCATCAGAGCATATTGAAAAAGAATAGGGACTCATTTCCAAAACTGTGACATTATTCAAGCTTATGACACAAAATAACCACTTTCGATGGGGAAATTTTGTTGGAAGCAATAATTTCTATTCAAACATAATTCTTCTGATTTGTTGTGTTTTCATTTTCTCTTGGCTTGAGGTAAAATGGCCATATTATCAATTTTCTTCTGCCTTTAAATTGAGATACAATTGCTAAGTAAAGCGAGAGCCTCTCTTGGTGGGAAAAGAATACGCTCTGAGACAAACAATTGTACCAGGGTGGAACTTGAAAATAGACCCAAGACTGAGGGTGGAACTTGAAAATAGACCCAAGACTGAGTAAAATAAGGGCAGTCCGGTGCACTAAGCTCCCGCTATGCGCGGGGTCCGGGGAAGGGCCGAACCACAAGGGTCTATAGTACGCAGCCTTACCCTGCATTTCTGCAAGAGGCTGTTTCCATGGCTTGAACCCGTGACCTCTTGGTCACATGACAGAAACTTTATCAGTTACGCCAAGGCTCCCCTTCAGACCCAAGACTGAGTCTTAATTCCTTTTCTTTCACTGACCTAATCTCCTTGTCTACGACACAAAAACCTAGAGTGACTACTGACTATTATGATCACCCAAAAGGTTATTCACCGCAAAATAATGCAAGAAATAGAAGGGAAAATCAATACTAAATCCATTCCATAACAATGCCAAATCCATTCCCATCTCAATTCCTTTTACCAAAGTGATGCATTTATCTAGTGCCATGAAATTCCTTGTACTGCACCACCAGAGGTCTTAAGTTCAAACCCTGAGAATATAAAAAAATCCTAGTAGGGAGCACTTTCGCTATTTAATGGGTCTAACGCGGCGCAAATCCGGATTAGTCAGTCCCCAATGCGGGTACCGACCATCGGGTTCGAAACCCAAAAAAAAAAAAAGAATCCTAGTACTGCGAGGATGCTGATAACCTAGTAATTAGCATATCTTTTAGCTTGAGTAGCATATGTCTCCCAAGTCCCAACTCATTCCAAATGGTGCTATAGATTCTAACAACACCTCTCCCACACACCCGCAAAAAAAAAAAAGAAAAAAAAAGGTAACTTAGACAAACCAGTAATCCTTTCTCTCCAAGCTGAATTTCAATTAAACACATGCTAATATGCCTTTAAAACTGGTTTATAAGGTAGATCTGCCATTTTTGCGTTTCTCTCTCTTGCAAGCACGTTTTGCATGTGTAAACATACGGAGATGCAACAAGGATCAAAAGCCTTTCAAGTTCATCAGATAATTGATAATTAAATCTCAGTGAAATCCGCTAGGCTTTCAAGTTCATACAGATGAAGAGTTATAAATGATAAATCCTAATCCAATTAAAAACAGTTAACGGATATAACAGCTATTGAAATCCATTTCTGAATACATATATAAGAATGGTACATATCTTAGACTTTATTGGCAAACAAAACAATGATACAGAGTACAATTTATAAGGAAATCCAATGGCAACAGGGAGGGGCATAATGTGTATCAGACAAAATATAACACAAGGAAAAGCTCTGACTTACCATTTTGGAAGTTCCGTAACCCAAATCAGGAAACTGGAAATTGAGTACCTACAGCAAGGCCAATTACCAGACTAGATCAGCGGAATTTAAACATAAAAGCTAAAAATTATCTACACCAATAGCCATATAGCATGAATGTCAAAATAAGCTAAAATTCAAACATCAAAAAGTTAAACAGGTGTGCATCATGTAAAATTGTCCATGTGTTTTCAAGAACAGTGAAGATACCAAGCATGCAGCAAACAAAACAAAATCATGCTGCAAACAGTTAACTTCTCAACTATAACACAGCAGAGACAACATATAAAATAACTTATTTAACTAAGGTAAAGATAGTCTTAATCATCCATCCGCTATTTGCATTTGGCCAAATGCATTGGTGGCCCCTCAAACTTGTCAATTTTTTATTAAGACGCCTTATCTTAGGCCCTAACCTATTGAACACTTGATCTATGTTCAAACTATATCTATTAGACACATTTCTGACATGGTACAGTGAGTGTGCTACACCTTTTCTAGGAGCATAAGAGGCATAATTTTTCTTATGCATTAGAAGTGGAGGCTAATTGAATTGGTGGTGTGGAGCTTGCATTCTGGGATTCGGGTGTGAACTGAAAGTGCAGTCAACTAAGTGGAATGAAGTGAATTTCAAGTAGAATCTGTCTTTGATGATTTCTCTTTTAAGGGATTGGTGAAGTTGAGCTTCAGTATGATTTTTCTATTTCTTTTCGGGTATATTTGCTTTCAATTTCATTATACACTTGTTTATAACTGTGTACCTATATGTATATGACCATTTTTGAGAGGGGTTGAAAAGCAGGAGGGCGAGAGGTTTAGAGGAAAAACAAATAGGCAGTGGTTATGGTCGCCGAACAAATTTTTCGGGCCAAACTCCGGGGGGTTTCTTGATGTTCTTCATGCCAAGATTTTTTACTGAAAACTTACACTAATACTAGTATGAACAAAGTTGGGGTAGAACTTGATGTTCTTCCTTTAAGCTCCTTTTTTGGGACAGCAAATCCAAGGCACAACAATTGACCTTAACCAGTAAACCTAAAAGAATGTGCAGATGGGGATAGTCTTGCACAAAAGTCATAAGCTAAGTTGCTTGGAGCCTTGGACTCTTCACTTTCAGTGCCACACCCATGTAGACACCACGTGGTTGTGAGTATGGGTGCAGGATCCCTACCCGATCAGGTCAATGATTTTGGATACTTTGACCAAAATCGACAGAGAAGGCTAGGGTGACCATAATTTAGGCATATGATTTTGTAATCATTAAAGATATTTGTATTAAAAATTCAGCAATCAGAAAGTGCTTTAAAGTTATTTACAAGTCAAATCACTGTTGAATGTGCAACGAACTCAAGAAGTCTATCATGGCCTCTATATCATTTGCAATAGCCAAGTTACACAAAAGAAAAACGGTAAGGAGATGTATCTGTACTTAAAAATAGTTACAGATTCAAACTTGCTCTCAAAATTTCGTGCATTCATTTCCTTCCAAATAATCCACCACAATTTAGGCATATTTTTATCTCTATGTTTAGATATTTTAATTTTTTTGGCCGAATCCTAACACCTGTATCCGCACTTGGATCCGTACCCTTGAATCTTAAGATTGAGATCATGAAGAATCCAACCTCTAAATCGGCAACCGTATCCGCCACCCGCACCAGATTCCAAACAACGTAGGTCATAAGTTATAAAACAATGTGAGGTATCCAATAATGGACTAATTCGAAGGTCAAAAAGCAAAATGTTAACATCATTTCATATGAGAAAAATTGTTAGCCTGCTCATAATGGGCATTCAAAAACTTAAAACTAGATGTATGCCTTAAGGTTTCTCTAAACTCGATCGACCCCTTGAGGTCCCATCTATCTATCCTGTTACAATAAGAAAACACATCTCCACCTCCAAGTTGCTACTGTGAAAATGGTAAGATCATAATTAGAAAATTTTAAAGTATATAAAAAGGGAAAAGACGGAATCAAGGATTTCTAGTACATGGGTGCATTACCAAAAAAAAAAAGGAGAAAAAATGTATTTAATGGGAATTGATCCATATTCCTCTTGATAGTTAACCTTCAACCAAGTGCACCATTCAACATTTTTGGAGTATGAGTGCCAACATTTAATATTATACCAATTTTAAAAAATATGTACATAAAATATCTAATTTTGCGGAGACCCCATGGATTCACGTGACCCATATTTTTGCATGTAAATCTGCCCCTCGCCTAGGTGTGTAGTTTTGAGGCCATACAAATATTGGGTTTGGGGGCTCTGTTCTAATTGTACATGGGTTTCCCCTTGGAACATTTTGCTTAAGCAATAGCTTGGGTTTACAATCCAGTTGAAAACCTAGCTCCAGCTCACAGAATTTAAGCAGTGAATGATCAAATCATATCAATCAGTAGCCAAAAAATTAAATAAAAAAAACACAGATAAAATTGAGAAATCAACATGTCACTATCCTGACAATGAGCCCACCCAAGAACCCAAAAAAAAACCACAAATCTTAACACACGTGAAAATTCAAGGGATTTATCCACATCAGTTGAACACTCAATTCAAAGCAATTGTAGACCATACCTTGAGCTTGTTCAAATCGAGTGATAGATTGATGAGGAAAGACGACGAAGGGAAATTTCAGGGTTTTGAAAAATTAATGAAATTTTTCTTGGATTAGAAGCTTTTTGGGCATTCTTTTTTTCTTTCCTTTTCCCCTTTTAAAAAAAAAGGCGTGTTCAACTGTTATTCCAAGAAATTTATAATAATAATAATAATAATAACATCAACAAGATAATAATAGTAATAAGATTAGAGATTGAATCGAGGCCATTTTATGAGCCAAGGATTTATTGAGCAAACCTAAGCGTTCAAATTGGAATATTTTTAAACTTATTCAACTTCAGTTGTAAAGGAGCTAGTTTTTACTGCTTTTTTTTTTTGTCTTGTTCCCTCCCTGTATAGTACTATTTGATACCCACATTGCGCCGCGTAAGGTCTATTAGTTACTCAAAAAATGTAATTGTATTAGGTATTCATTAAAGAGTAAAAATAATTTATATCTCTCAATTTTGCTTTAAAAATCAAACTCATTCCTCAACGTTGAACAATTATCATTCTGCTCCTTTTATCAAAGGTGACTTCTTAAAATGCCTATTTTACCCTCTATAATTTTTACCTCTTATTTTTATTCTTTAATATGATGAAAAAAAAATTATTTTCAATTTATGTCATCAACTTACCTATAGAAAAATTGAAGAAACTTTTTCGAAACCAAAAAAAGTGAGAATTAGCAGTCAAGAATATAAGTTAATGACGCTCAATAATGAAATAACGAGAAAAATAAAAAAAACTACAATAAATAATTTACCCGTATCAGTAATTTTATTAATAGCAATAAAAACTAAATCTATTTACAAAAAAAAGAGTGAAAATTTTATAAATTATACGATGTAGGTAATAAAAAATAATGGGCGAAAAATAGAGGTAAATCTTATAATAAATTTGCAAAATTTTTATCTATTTGCACTTTACCTGAACTTCAATTATAATTTAGAAAAAATCTACGAATAAGAATCAAAACGCAAAATTTTATATACACATGGAGAGTAATAAAAATATTAGAACTTAAATCACAGACACGCTGACATACACAATAATAATAGTAATAATAATAATAATAATAATAATAATAATAATAATAATAATAATAAAGCAGCAATACATCTTATAATGAATTTATAATATGATTATGTTATTTATAATGTTAGTGAACTTGGATTAAATTATATAAAAAGATATAATATTATTCAAATTATAAATAAATATCTGCATTAAAAAATATCCAGATAATATAAAAAAGATATGAGGAGTTGAAAATGTGTCAAAGAGTACAATAGATATTGTGTAGGATAAAAGGATGAAATGGCAATTGTTTAAAGTTGGAGGATGAGTTTAATTTTTAGAGTAAACTTGGGGATGTAAATGATCTTCACCCATTCATTAAATAAGTAAATATATTAAATTAGAACCCAATTATTAACATTTTAAGAGCTTGTTCGACATGAGGGATAAGAGATAATTAATCACGAAATTAAAGTTGAGATGATTTATTTCCATGTTTGGTAGAGATAAAATTTTCATTAATGTGGTGTTTATGCTTTCCTGAGTCGAGGGTCTATTGGAAACAGTCTCTCTATCCTTACAAGGTAGGGGTAAGGTCTGCATACACACTACCCTCCCCAGACCTTATGTTGTTGTTGTTGTTATTTGATTGAGATAAAATCAGAGTATAACTAATCTTGAATTGTAGTGTTATTTTTATCCCTACGGAAGGATGGGACAACAATCTCGTAATAGTTAATCCAGGGATAACTTGTTTCCCAACCAAACGACCCCTAAACCGTCATCGGTCTAAAATCTAAAACTCAAAAAATTAAAATCATCGCTCTGCTTCTGATGTAGCAAAGGAAGATTATTGCCACTTGCAACTTTATAAAGTTGATGACCTAAATAGATGGAGTTGGAATTAAACCTATGGTCATTTCTCTTACTCTCTCTGTCATTCTGCGTTTTCACTTACAAATTTGCATCCTCCTCCTAGCAAAGTCATTTCTTGAATAAGGATGTCCAAGAGGAATGCATTAACCTGCTTGATGCACAAAAATAGGTTTTTGCAATTTGGCTTTTCAATTTGTTAATTTGCTCACAAGGATCAGAAAGATTAAATAGAGCTAGCTAACAAGGTTTCGTATTGAAGGGGAATACTGGAACAACGATTAAATTGTCTCTGTATGACCTATAGATTATGGGTTCTAGCTGTTAAAGCGATCACTAGTGCATGTAATAGAGTAAACTGTCTATATTACATCCCTCGGGATGCGGTCTAACCACGCCCAACTATGCCTTATAAAAAGGACTAAGCGATCGTTGCAAATATAATCCGATTTACAAGTCCGGAGTCGAATCCCACGGAGAACTAAAGCTTAGCTACAGTTGTTCAATATTGCTAAGAAATACAAGTTCAAATAACTTCCTAATTATAGAGATTATAATGTTTATTTCTAACTAATTAACTAACAATTGTTATAAAGAAGTAAAATTATCAACTAACAAGGATAAAATTTTAGACAAGACTAAGGAGGTCTAGAGTTATGACTTCCCCAATTGTCGGAATACTTGCCGCTATGCCTTCTATAGTTTCGCCTAAGTATTCTCTATCAATCGTGAGTACTTCGGGTGTCATAATTCTCTTCTGAGCAACTACCACAGTTTACTAGACATATTCATCCGAACTACGCTAGTTGGCACTAGTTTACCGCTCATTAAGATCGCACCAAGGTTTCGTTATTCCTAATCTCACCTTTAAACTCTTCGTATTGATTCCTCACATACGTCAGGAGTGATGTTGTTCAACAACTACCTAAATATGTACCATTTTCCAAGCAATAGATACTAAATAGACACAGTCAATTGATGGTCATTCAATCAACAACAATAAATACGTAGTTGACCAAGTAGAGAAATCCAACAGCTCAATTATATAAAAACATAACAAGAATTTATCCCACAAAATGTTCTATCAAATCTCTAGATAGCAAATTAGCTATTCATAATAGTATGCATAACTACAATACTAGAATTCATAACGAATAACAGAAATAGGAAGAAGGAAGTGAAAAACTTGTAGAAGAATTCTCCGCCTTGCCCCTAGTGTGTTCTTGCCTACTTAGGTCGAATCCCTAAAGTAGTGTCTCTTCCTCCAAAGTTCTCCTTAGCCTCCTTAGGTCTAAATTAGGTCAAAAGTCCTCAAAATACCATTTTCCCATGTATATATACCAAGTAGGGTCGTGCCCAAACAATTACACCTTCTCCTTCGCGAAAAAGGACACTTTTTTTGGATAGGAAGTGCGCGGCCGCGCACTTGGCCACGCACTTTTCACACTATTCTGTCCCATATGCGCGGTCAGTGCGCATCCACGCAATTTTCGTGCACTTTTCACCCTGTTCTATTGGGAATTTGAAAAAATGTAAAACATGAAAGTTGTAGTCCTTTGAATTAGTTTTCCAAAAATATATTGTGGAGCCCAAACAGAGCTCTGAGAGAAAAGTTATGTGTATTTCACTAGACAGTGCACAATATACCTACTCGATTCTTCGTTTGTTTTTAACTATCATTCGTTGATCCCCGAACACGATCCCAGCTTAATTCCTTGGGCTTTTACTCAGATTTCAAAGAAAAAAATCACTTGAATTCATTCCATAATATCTACATAGCTCGGAATCACTCCATCATGCCATGCACGAGATTGGACGAGCTCCCAATTCTTTCCGTCTCTTCCTTTTTGTGTCAAATTGTCATATTTTGATCATTTGTCATCCAAACTCGTTCCTACACATAAGAAGCACATAATGAGCATATTTCACTTCAAAAACCATGTAATCTCCCGCGACTCACACAAGAATTAGTATGCAAATATACTTAAAAATATTCACTTTTCATCATTTATCACGGTTCTTCCTCGGACCCAGAGACGGAACTAGGATTTCAACCTTGTGGATTCTGGATTTTAGAACGATGATTTCAAGTGTTTGTAACTGAGTTCTAAATTTTATATTTGTACATATTTAATGAATTTTAAACATCAAATACATTGTTAAAGCAAAAGTTACTGAATTCAACCGAATCCATAACTTGACTTGTGCCTCGACCCCTGCTCGAACCCTGCGTGAACGCAAAATACTTGGGTGGAAGTTTAGCCCTTTTGACACAAAGGATGTTCCATATTAATAAAGGATGTTCCATATTAACTAAGGAAGTTGATCTTTTCTTGTTTTTAGATCTTTGATTTTTCGTAATTCTGCTATGTTACCGTTTTGCAAAATCATGAACATCATATATAATATATGGTTCCATAGCTATAATTCATTGAGAAGGGAAGCCCTTAAAATAGAGAAAATTTAATCCTCTTAATTTAAGTTTTGTCATGAATGCTACTTACCTTTGTCACTTGATTTGATTAAACTTCTTAAAATTATGGAAATTTGGCAGTAAAGAGAAATGCCCATATCTAGAGCTTTGAAGAAATCAAGCTTCGTGCCGAACTAGACCCTTCAAATAGTACTATTTGAAATTCTAAAATAACAGCTATATTTTCAATTACTCGTGGCAAAAAAGTGACTATTTAAATTTTACTTTCCAAAAGGACCTCTTGATTGAAAGGCCTAGGGGTGTCAAACGGGCAAGTTGAGCCAATTTTAGACGGGTAAAAATGAGTTAAGTCAATAGTTGAACGCGTCATTTTATTTGAATTAAGATGGGTTGAGTGAAAATAAACTAAAATTTGGGTTATAACCCAATCGCCCAACTCTTATCAAGCTTTACTTAATATTTGTTATTTTCTTATGAATTATATAATTACTAAATAAGACTTTTTTTCCTTTTGTTATAGTCACATATAACATATCAAACAAAAAAAAATATTTCTAAGATATTTTGATAAAGTTACTCATGGATCACTTTGGGCTAAAAATTAAGCCAACTTTAAAGTAAAAATGGCGTGTAGTAGCCATTAATTAAGGGGGTCTTTAATTTTTATCCACTAATTATAATGTTCAGCAAAAATAGCCACTACTAATAGGAAAAAGACACTTTTACCCTTTCTTCAATGGTTATATTCCCAAAACCTTTTGCAAAAAGAAAGAAGCGATGAAGGTGAAGTATATATCAAGCGTAGTAATGGTAAATGTGAAAAGCCCTCCAAAATCGTCCAAATTTCATCAATAATATGCAAAGACAGAGAATTATCATAATGATGAAGTTGCAGCCAAATTAGCTCGTGGTCAAAGTTCAAAAGAATTTTCTGGATTTCGATTTCNCGCAGTAATGGTAAATGTGAAAAGCCCTCCAAAATCGTCCAAATTTCATCAATAATATGCAAAGACAGAGAATTATCATAATGATGAAGTTGCAGCCAAATTAGCTCGTGGTCAAAGTTCAAAAGAATTTTCTGGATTTCGGTTTCCCTATTAATATATAGCGTAGTAGTTGAGCTTTTCTTTGGCTTTGTTGCTTCAGTCACTGGGTATATAGTATAGGATGTCACTGGGTAAGTAAGCCTTACATTGTACTAACACTAACAAAAGTATTTATGAATGACATCATCCTCAATACTTATTTGCTAAATTCTGTATGTTCAAATTTTTGAGCAGATGTCTGAATTTTCAAAATTTCTTTCTTCTTACCTTGTTTTTGTTTCTTTTGAGTTCAAAGATTAAAAGTTAAGGACATGAGTCCTTAAGTTTGACATGCAGATTCAAAATTTAAGGATATGCAATCCTTAACTTACAGTTTCAAGTTTAAAATTCTTAACTTTGAATTACACGTTCAAAAGTTAAGGACCGACAGTCCTTAACTTTGAGTTCAAAGTTCAAAACTTAAGGACTCTCTGTCCTCAACTTTACAAAAGTTAAGGACAGGAGTCCTTAAGTTTGACATGCAGGTTCAAAAGATAAGGACAGACAGTCCTTAACTTATAGTTTCAAGTTCAAAACTTAAGGACATGCAGTCCTTAAGTTATTGTTTCAAGTTCAAAATTTAAGGACTTTCTGTCCTTAACTTTGAGTTTCAGGTTCAAAAGTTAAGGACATGCAGTCCTTAACTTATAGTTTTAAGTTCAAAACTTAAGGACAGGCAGTCCTTAAGTTATTGTTTCAAGTTCAAAACTTAAGGACTTTCTGTCCTTAACTTTGAGTTTCAGGTTCAAAAGTTAAGGACATGCAGTCCTTAACTTATAGTTTTAAGTTCAAAACTTAAGGACAGGCAGTCCTTAAGTTATTGTTTCAAGTTCAAAACTTAAGGACCGTCTGTCCTTAACTTTGAGTTTCAAGTTCAAAAGTTAAGGACAGGAGTCCTTAAGTTTGATTTGCAGGTTAAAAAGTTATGGAAAGACAATCCTTAAGTTTGAATAATACGTTCAAAAGTTAAGGACATGCAGTCTTTAACTTTGAGTTCAAAGTTCAAACGTTAAGAACATGAGTCCTTAAGTTTGAAATGCAGGTTCAAAAGTTAAAGAGAGGCAATCCTTAAGTTTGAATTACACGTTCAAAAGTTCAGGACAAGGAGTTTNAATCATGACTTTAGTGTTTACTGAATATCGTCTCTGTTTTTCATCCTAATTTGAAACTCGTTTGACATTGTCATCAGGAATGGGTGAGTTTGATATTAATGAAGTTGCAAAAGGTGTCAATGATGCTCAGGGTTGATTTCTACCAACACCATATTAATGCTCTTTATAAAGACAGGTATAAGTTATAGCAGAAGGGTATTTTCGTCCAGTCAGGTATAAATTTATTAAACCAGTGGCTAAAAACTAAAGACATTTAAAACACTGGCTTTAAAATAAAGACAGGTGCTGATAGTGGCTATTTGTGGACATCGCCCAACTTTAAATGAGTTGAGATGGGTTGAGTTAAGATAGGCTGAATCCAATAAATGAGTATGTCAATAACCAACCCAACCTTGGGCGATTTAGACGGGTCATTTGGGCTTGGACCAAATTTGTCAGCCCTAGAAAGGCCTATGGCTACTGCCATCACTGAAGTTATTTAGATTAATTAATTTTCTCTTCTACCTAATAATTCATGTAAAATAATGGCTATGGAGTTCTAACATGTAATTTCGATTTTGCTTATATTATTTTCTTTATGTTGGATAAACATTGTGCTAATAAATAAAGAATTGTGTCCAGATAAAATTTTAACATTTAGGACATTGTGTGAAAGGAATATAAATTGGAGTAGTGCAGAAAAGTTGAAGAATCATAGCCGAAGAAAACTAACTAAACTATTGTAGTATCGATTATTTCACGTTTAAAAGAAAAATATAACCTCTCTACCTTCGTAAGGTAGGAATAACACTGCATACACACTATCTTTTCCGGATTCCATTTATGAGATTACAACAAATACGGGACAGGGAGGAGGAGGGGAAGGAGGTGGTGGAGATGATGGTGTTGCGGAATAGGGGCTGTGGTTCCTCCCAATAGTCTCGTAGAGTTCGGACAACATAACAATTATCGTCCTCGTATGTTGCTCTAATTCGACGAATTGAGCTCTTATTTGTTGAAGTTCTCTCTTGATTTCCTCCATTTCTTGATTTCTTGCTCTACCTGAATCACGATACATGTAAAATTCAAGATATGCTTCGAATAAGTGTGAAACTTAAAATAGGTATTATAAGGAAGGGAAAAAAGAAAGAAATGAAAATAAAGAAAAAAAGTTTTGTTTCTCTTTGTGAATAAGAGAAAATTCTCTAAATTATTGATCAAGTATTAGTCTTGCATATAATACCGTAATAGGAGAATTTAACTGTAATCTATTGCATACTTGTCAACCTAATTTTTTCTCTCTCTATATATTTTGTTACCATTGACCCGAGCCTATGCGAAGCAAGGCCTTTGACCAGATACAGTAGATTTATAGAAACAATTAAGCAAAAGAAAAATGACATTGTATAACCGCTCTCAAAATAATAGCCAAAAATAGCTCAGTTTCAAAAGTAATCGAAATTTAGCCACTTTTCATGTAAAGATAAATCTGAGCAAAAACTGTTCAAAACCCGAAAAATACGTCAGTATATTATACTGGAGTTCCAGCATAAGTATGCTTGAACTCCAGCATATTATACTGGAGTTCCAGGACAAGTATGCTGGAACTCCAGCATAATATGATGGAGTTCCAGCATAATATATTGGAGTTCAAGCAAGTATAATTGTCCAGTATAATATACTGGAGTTTGGAGCACTGGTGCTCCAGTATATTATACTGGAGTCAGCAGAGTATACCAGTCCAGCATAATATGCTGGAGTTCATACACAGGTGCACCGAACTCTAGTATATTATGCTGGACCGGTCTTTGTTGCAGCAAAATAGTGGCTATTTTTCATTGACTTCGTAAACGCTGACTATTTTTGAATGACCAGTCTGAAAACTGGCTATACCGTGCTATATTTACAATATAGATAGTTTCTGGCGCGGGCTAAAAGTGAAAAAAGCCCATTATCAAAAGGGGAGCCTTGACATAACTAGTAAAATTATTGTCATGTGACCTGGATCAAGTCATTGGTTCAAGCCATGAAAACAGGCTCTTGCAGAAATGCAGGGCAAGAATGCGTATAATAGACCTTGTGGTTCGGCCCTTCCTAGGCTCCTGCGCTCAAGAGTGTCTATACAAAGCTCCTCTCTTCTTCACTCAAAGAGGCCATGCACCCTTTTTTGGTGAAGTGTCGTTAAGCATCCCTAGCGGTACGAAAAGAGGGGTTGTGATGATATCATCTACGTCCGTATACAGTTCAAGGTGCTGATAATTCATCTTCAAAAAGCATTCTATCTTTGTTTGCCTCCTCAAGCGAGCACTTTATGGCCTTAAACAAGCACCCAACCTATACAAAGGGCTATAGTTGTCCACTATAGGAGGTTTCTTCTAACAATCCCTTATTTGGTATGCCACGAAATTATGAAGCGCACAACGAGAGATCAGTGCATCGGACTGTCCTAATATAGGCAATTATCAAAGGATTTAAACAATCATTGAGTAAGCACCCATAACTAAACTTTTTCTCCCTCTGCTTCTGAGACTATTATCGGCAAGCACACATGAGTTCTAAATCTTAGGTCCGCCACGTACATATTAGAATCGAATAGAACCTCACCTCTTGAATTAGCAAATCCAGTGTTGGTGAACTGGTGAGGTGGTGGATGGACAAAAGGAGCGGGACGAGAAGCAGGTCGTGTAGATGTTATCTTTTCGTATTTGGAGATGATATGTACAGTACAAAAATCAGGAACCTCTTTTAATACGCCTCCTGGAATGTCTTTGGCTTTGAATCTGCAGTGCAGAAGGCTATTGAAATTAGACCATTTGAAGAGGTAAAAGTTTACTTGCATAGAATTTTTATACCAAATCATATTAAATTACTATGGTCAAGTGATTTAATGAGGTGAAAGTACATCTTAATTAACTATGATGAAGTGAGAAAAGTATACGAGCAGACACATATAATGCACCTATAGATTTGATGTAAACATAAAATATGAGTAAATTTTTACCAATGCGAGTAAGATGTTTTATTCAAATCTAACATATGAAATGAAAAATCAACAGAGCTTGAAAGGCATGCATACATTTAAGTATGTATAGACACACCTTTTTCCCTTATCTTCTATTCACAAAAACTTTTGGAAAAAATATTTTAAAGCCAAGTTTGTAACATAATCATGCACTAATATCTACATATCCCTATGGTAAGTTTAGAACGATGAGCATTATTAATAATAGTTAATATATATCATAACATGTTTGTTACATAATTTTATCAGATTATTAATTAATTCTTGTTAATGATGGAGTCATACCTGAGAAAACCGTCTTTTCTTGCAGCACCAAAAATCAATGCCTCTACTCCAGTTCTATTCACATATTCAACAATTGCTTTGACTACATCCTTGTCCTCTAACACCACAACATGACTATCTACCTGTTTTATCGGAGAATTAGAAGAACTACCAATATTAGAGACGTGAAAGCTAAAGGAAAAAAACTAGTAAGAGTACACAAAAAATATTGATTATTCTAATTCGTCCATGTTTATATCAAGATGTTTTGGCACCGCGAAGGGGTGTGGATGTCTTGTGAGATATATCGGATCCGTTCGGTCTTTACTAGAAGTCTGGAGTTCGAGCCTCGAGGATGGAGAAACCTATGTTAGAAGATGTCAGTACCACCAAGGGATTTACACAGTATAGATATCCTATAAAAGTTGAAGAGAATTCTCTTCATAAAGCCTAGCCGTCATTTTTTTATTGGTAAATAAAAATTTTATTACCAAAATGGGTGTTGCATTATAAAGCATTCGGCGACTGACTGTTGGACAGTAGTTCCAACACTTCCGTCAGGCTCATGATCAAAATCAACTATATACTAAAACCACCAAGGCAAACTACTTACTACTTATGTAGGATAGAAATCAAAACTTGCCAACCAATTAGCTACTTTGGGTTTCTTACAACCTATAAAATACACCTCTTGGATTATCTACTTGGTCATTAAGTACACAGGTTGTTGCTTGTTTTGAAATACTCTCATGTTCCTTTCTCTCCAAATAGAGTAGATTGAAGCTACAAAACACATTATGTACACATGTGCTCTAACACGCCTACTAGCAAACCTGACTGACCATTGTAGCTCATCATCCCAGTTCCTAGGCCTCTTGTTAATACCTTGCCATTTCAGAAGTTTCTGCCAGACTTGAGCAGCCAATTCACATGCGAAGAACAAATAGGAGCGACTTCCATTCTCCTGGCCACACAAAGGGCATATTTTATCGCTAGCCATACCCTATTTACTTAGTGTATCCCTTGTATATAGCTTGCCATGAGCTACTAGCCTTAACACAAAGATCCATTTGGGTATTCCAAGGTTATTACATACCATTTTCCTCCGGGCCACCTTTGGAAACTCACCTCTTAGCCTCTGGTATAATTGCTTTGAAGAGAACTGATTCATGTTGTGTATATCAGTTAGTTCATATCCTGCTTCTATATAGTACTTTGATGCCTTCATAATCTTTTGGATGATCTATGAAATCTGTTTTGGAATGTCCTCCAGGAAGTTCCTACTAGCCTCATAATAGCAGTGTATCCATTTAACCCATAGTTTATCTTTCTTTTGGCATAAGTTCCAAACAATTTGCTAATAACCGTTTTGTTCCAAGCAGTGATGTCTAAAATGTTTAAGCCCCCAGCAGTTGTCGGTTGACATACTCTGTCCTAGGTCAATAATGCTTTCTTTGAGAGTTCAGCACCACCAGACCATAAAAAGCTTTTACATGCAGCTTTTATGATCTGCACAACTTTCTTAGGGAGCACAAAGATTTGAGCCCAGAAGACTTGTATAGAGAATAAGACAGATTTAATGAGTTGTGCTCTACCAGCATATGATAGAAACTTGGTAGTCCAGGATTTGATTCTCTGCAGAATCTTATCTAGCAGAGGGTTACATTGTACAAATGAAACTCTTTTGGAGCTAAGAGGATCCCCTAAGTATCTGAAGGGGAGTTCTCCTTTAGTGAATCCAAGTATCTGCAAAATTTCTTGTTGCACATCAGTAGTCATGCCTTCAAAGTAGATTGAGCTTTTGGCAGGGTTAGCTATGAGTCCAGAAACAGCTGAGAAGTGCTGAAAATGCTTAATCAAGTATTTTACTGATGCAACATCACCTCTACAGAAAAGAAGTGAATCATCTGAAAATCCCAAATGGATGATATTCAGCTTGGCACACTTGAGATGAAAATTGAAATAAGGATTTTGCCCCAATTGCTTCAACAATCTTCTCAAGGACTCCATCACTAAAACAAATAGGAAGGGGGATACAAGATCCCCTTACCTCAGGCCCTTTTTGGAATCAAAAAGTTTAGAAGGCTTCCTATTTATAATGATATAGAAAGATACTGTCCTAAGGCATGTAATTATCCAGCCCACAAATGCACTAGGGAAGTTCAGACCAAACATCACTTGCTCAATAAATGCACACTTTACAGAATAATATGCTTTTTGCATGTCAATCTTAAGCATACATCTTGGGGAAGTACCCTTCCTCCCATAGTCCCTTACCAATTCATGGCTCAATAGGATATTATCAGGTATGACCCTCCTAGGAACAAAGGTAGTCTGGCTACTATCAACTAAGTAATCCATGACATTCTATATCCTCTTTGTAATAACCTTAGAGATCAGTTTGTATAGCATAGTGCAGCAAGATATGGGCCTAAACTCCTTAATAGTAGAGGGAGATTGTACCTTAAGAATCAAGGTAACAATGGTGCAGTTAATACATCCATGCAGTCTGAAAAAACTGGATCGCGACATCTAAAACACCATCTCCAATAATAGGCCATGCTTTCTTGAAGAAGAATGCATTAAATCCATCACATCCTGGGGACTTCAGATCAGATATATCTTTCAAGGCTAGGTAGACTTCTTCTCTTATGACTGGAGCTATAAGGGGTAGATATATCTTTCAAGGCCAGCACCTAGAATACTAGGTGTAATTGCAGGTAGTTGTGTAGCACAAATGCCTAGCAGTCCCTTGTAAAATCCAATGATCTCTGCTTCAATTGCCCTGTCAGTGTGTACCACATCTCCACTAATAGTGATCAGCCCTTTAGTGTGATTCTGGGCAATCCTATTCTTGATATAGGCATGGAAAAAGATGAGTTGGTGTCTCCTAGCCTCAACCATTGAACTCTAGATTGTTGTCTCAGAATATTTTTATCTACTAGGATCCATTTCTCTAAGTTAAGTTTAAGCTCTTTCTCTGTAGCATATAAAGTGGGATCAATGTAGCAGGTTCATAGCTTCTCTTGAATATCACATAGATCTTGCCTGGTATTTTACATCTTCTGCTCGACTTTACAGAACCTATGTTCGTTTAAAGCTTTCATCCCTTCCTTCATTAGTTTGAGCTTGTGCCAGACGTGGTACATATACTCCCCTTGCACAATACAAGTAAAGACAATATTAAGAAATTAGGTATGAACGGTCAAGTGATTCAAGAACCTAAAGGGTCTTGCCACCTTTCTTGGGTTGCTACTGAATTTAATGCAAAGAATGGAATGGTCAGAAAAATAAGGATCTTTTGCTTCAACTGTAAGCTGGGCCATAGAGACATTCAAGAAGGATTGACCAGGGCTCTATCAATCCTACTGTGAATGTGTGAATTAGTCCAAGTATAGAATCTTCCCACTCTTTTTATCATTGTTAGACCAATTAACCCCAAGAACTCCTCAAAGTCTTTCACCGCTATATCTTGTATTTCACTTTCTCCCATTCTGTTATCAAGTTGGAGTATTGCATTGAAATCTCCCATAATGAGCCACGGGCTCTGAATATTGGACTCTATTCCTATCAGATCCTGCCAAAGGTGTTTCCTATCAGCAATTGTGTGAAGGCCATACATTGTAGTGAATTCAAACTCAATAAATCAGTCTGCACTTATAATAGCACAGTAAAGGAACTGAGAGCTTGTACAAAGTACTGTAACATCAACCAACCTTCGATCCCATAATAGCTAGATCCTTCCTCGCCCATTAATATCATAATTATCATGCCAACTCCAGGTAGGAAAGACTTTATTTATAATCCTTGAGGCATTTTGTTTAATGACTCTATGTTCCGTAATAGCTCAAACTACTATTTTCTCTTTACTTACTATCTTCTTCATCTCCTTGTGCTTAAAAAACTAATTGAACCCCCTAACATTCTATGTAGCAATAATCATTGGTGATTGTTGTGGGGGTGAGGAGGCTTTCCTCCTTGGATAGAGCTGCATCTTGTGTCCACTGTTCCTAGGGCTGCTTGCAACACCTGTTGAAATGAGGTTCCTCTCATAGGGATGAAACCATTCTCAACATCCACAAGATATTGACTACTTTCATCGAATACCTGAGGCCTTGCAACTACTTTCCCTTTTACTTTTGTCCACCCATCTTTTCCATTTTCAGGATCACCCTCCACCTCCTCTGGTGGCACCTCAGGTATTGGTGATGCTGGGACATCCTTACTTTGCCAAACTTTCTTAGTATTCCTTGTCTCAGCTTTGGCTTTCTTAGGTTGGGGCTTTGCTTGCTCGGCCTGACAGATATGTCCAAGTTGGCAGCATACTCGGCAGTACTGAGGCCACCATTCATATCTAACTTCTTGGTCATAGCGCTTGCCAAATGAATCCAACAACTTGACAGTTTTAGGTAATGGGACAATAATGTCCATTTCAATAAGCACTCGAGCATACAAAATCCTCTCTTTGCGAGAGGTGCATTCATCAGCACATACAGGGTGCCTAATACACTAGCTAGCATGCTCAGAGAGTTGGGACTCCAGCAACTCAGGGGTAAGTTAGGAAACGTTACCCAAAGGGGAATTGTTTTGAGTATCTCCTCACTAAAATTAAAATTGGTACTCTAGGGCTTGACAATCACTATTTTACTATTCAGCATATGAGGTCCAGACATCAGGACTATCACCACAACTATAGAATCTTATCACAAAATAACAATTGTTATGGTAGTATATGTGTGGTTTATGCTGAAACGTCCAGAGCCTCCCTTGGAATATGGTGATTTCCCCAATAGTTGGAGAATCTCCAACCACGTTGAGGATCAGTGCATATTTCCAATTTTCAGATTCCTTTCTGACCTCAGCTTTATCAAATTGAACCATTTTAACACCATTTTTTATTATTGGAGCAATAAATTGCAGATTGATACCTTTTGAAGCTAGCCGATTCCCTGTGAATAGATTCACCCACATCTTCTTCTCTTCCGTAGGTGGTGGTGGCTGCTTTGCAAGCTCATATTTCTGTGGACTAGCTACCAATTTCGGCGGAGAATTGAATTTCCTAGCGGGTGGGGCTGTTTGCACTTTAGTCACTCCGCTTTGATTCACCACGTTAGCATGCCAAATGTATAAGGTATACATTGCGAAGGAATAACAACTGCTGTACCAAAAATTATGGCACATGTTAGTGATTATTCCCAAAATTCCAAACAAAATAATTTTTTATTTTACAATCTTTGTGCATTTTGGTGTCATTTTCTGATAATTGTTGCATTCTATTTGCCATGTTAATTTTTATAAAATACAAAAATATGTATTTTTGCATTTAGGTTTTAGTTTTATATTTTTTAGTATCAATTAAGGTTAAATTTGTTTAGAACAAAACATGAAAATCACAAAATTAGTTCACTTTTGCATTTTAATGATTTTTATTGTGAATTCGTCATGAAATAGTTTTTAAACAATTTTAGGAATTAATTAGTCTTGGTTTTGAAACAATCAGGATTTCATGTTAGTTTTACATCTTTATAAAAATTAGAAAAATTATAAAAAAAAAATTAAAAATGAGAAAAAGGAAATAAAAGAGAAAAGAAAATAAGAGTGGAATAGGTGGTCTTAAAAAGACCCAAAATTTGGGCCACTTCTTTGCTAAATTCGCTTGGCCCAATGCCCCTTTTTCACTCATCCAAACCAGCCCAAGTACCAGCAACCCGGTCCGTTTCCCCTTCTAATCGAAACGATGTCGTTTCGTGGTCTCTAAATCAGGACCGCTGGATCTCATCAATCCAACGGTCCGGAACTAACGAGGATTCTGATTTAAAATGGTCGGAGAGCCCCCCAGTCCCTCGTCTTCCTCACCCCACCTATCCTCTCAAACCCTAATCCGCGCCGCCCCTAAATCCCTCGCCGACGGTGAACTCCACTTACACCGTTCAAACCCAGATTAACACCGTAGATCCCCCATGAATCCCTCTTTCCATTCCCGTTATTAGTTTTCCTCGAATGTTGCCGGAGCTCGTCGAATCTTCGAATGAAGTTTCCGGTCAGATCGCAGGTTTATCCAAATNGATTCGGACGTCAGTGACTGGCCGGAGTTTCTCGTGCTTCCGTGAGTTTTTCCTGTTTCTTTTACTTGCATGGTTGAAGTTTTAGTTACAGTCTTGATTTCATTAAGTGTTCTGTTAATTTTACGATTTATTTTTGTGTATTAGTATAGTTCTGTCAATTTCTGTTAGTTTTGAGTTTGATGTTTGAATGGTCGATTGTGAGCTTATTGGTTAAGAATTAGTTTAATTTCATTTAATGTTGATCAGTAGCTTAAGCTTTGCTTTGATTGATCCTGGTTTCTGGTTTTTCCTAGTTTGATTGAATTGGTGATTGAACAATTGGGATTGGGTAGATTGATTAGTTAATTTCTGAGTTCTACTTAATCAGTCTTAGTTAGTTTTGGATTAATTTAGGGGATTGGTTATAGCTGTTAAGAATGTGGGTAGAATCAGTAACTTTGAGAAACCTTCAGGGGTAGTTTGGGCATGGAAAAGGTAATTCTGATAGGAATAGTAATTTCAAAGTAATGAAAGGGCAGTATAGGTATTGTATTGGTAGAAGAATACCCTAGGGCCTTCTAGAATAGGATTTTAGTGCACATTTCAGCACAATAGAGGTGCTTACTTATGTGGCAAGTTAGAGACAGAGGGGGTAAAAAAAGCTAAAAGAAAGAGGGACTAAAAGGAAATAAAAATTGATGGGCTGCCTATAAATAGTCATGGCATTTGCCTGGTGAAAGGGAGGAGAGGGGAGAAGAAAATCAGAGTGACATAGCCATTACTAGTTCAAAAATACNGGGAGAAGAAAATCAGAGTGACATAGCCATTACTAGTTCAAAAAATATTTTTTTTCATTTCGAGTTTTAGATCTGAAGAGAGGGTAGATTTCTGGAGGAAATCACTGTTACATTGAAGACGTTGTTGTAGTTTGCTGGTAAAAAGGAATTGTTGTTCTGCTATTTTTCCTGCTCGATTTGGGTTATAAGCTGGTTCTGCTGTTGGATTCTGTTGACTGTTGCTGTTCGATATTGCATCTGCCAAGCTGATCTTCCTCTTTTCCTTGCTTTTACTTTTCCAGGTACATATTCCTCAAACCATGTAACTTGGGGCTCAAGGTGGAAGTGGAATAAGGAAATGGGAAATTTGTTTGACATTTGTGATGTCCAATTATGTTCAACCATAGTTTGTATTACCTCACTATACAAATTTTAACTGTGAGTTTGTTTGATTGAGTGCATCTGAGAGTGGTATGTTTGATTAATTCGTTCCATGTGGGTCAGATCCAGCCCCTCCATGTATCAAACATCCAAGCTCATTCATGTATAGCTTAGGGTGTGATACTTTGATTTTAACATATTCACACCTGCGTCTATTGAGTAAGGTTGCAAACGAATTTGGGTTTACGACTAGATTTGAGATTGTTTCTATCTTTGGTTGAATTTAGGAACTGTATTAGTTCTTAGAATGTTGTGTGAGACTTCACGATCTAAAATAGTCCTTTAAATAATGGCCTAAAAAGGTTTCATCTTTGTTAACTCATGATTAATATTCTGCTTTTCTCTATATATCTTTACCTACGTCACAAGGGTTCGAAACTGGATTTTATAGTTCAACTCTAGTGGTTAGTTTATTATCTCTGTATAGCTATCTCTTTGAAGTCAGAAAAGATGAGTGAAGTTGAAGCTGTTAAACGCTAGCATGTGAGCACGCAAATTGAAAATTAGCACATAGGATCATAATTGTTTAAAAATCCGATAAAATCACTTTTCTTAAAATCGGGTGCGCATTGATGCGGCCCAAATCTAAATCTCGATGAAATCGAAATGTGTTGACAATCACGGGCGCATTGATTGCGACGGGGTTCAAAACGCGTTTTCACGACATCGTAATTCTTAAAAAATGAATAATGATAGAAAAGAGGTTCGCAAGTTGGGACGAGCCTCACCGAACGAAAATAAATAAATGTGGGGCCCTCAATAAATGGTTATTAAAAATGATTAGAATTTGGGAGGACCATTTAGCGAACTTCACGGCTTTTTCCCAAAATAATATTACGTTAGAATCTTTAGGCGCGATTTTAATTAAATGACCTTCTTAAACTCGGGTGCGCATTGATGCGACTCAAATCCAAATCTCGACGAAGTCGAAATGTGTTGATAACCACGGGTGCATTGATTGCAACGTGGTTCGAAACGCGTTTTCACGACGTCGCAATTCTTTTAAAAAATAATTATAATAAAAGTGGTTTAAAATTAAATAAAAATAACATAAGCTAGCATGTATTGAAATTATATAAAATCAAATACGACAGTTAAGCGACCGTGCTAGAACCACAAAACCCAGGAATGCCTAACACCTTCTCCCGAGTTAACAGAATTCCTTACTCGGATTTCTGGTTCGCGGACTGTTAACAGAGTCATATTTTTCCTCGGTTTGGGATTCAACCGGTGACTTGGGATCTGATCTTCCACACCAGAAAGGAAATAATCTTGATTTTTGTCGTCAGCTATTAAATAATATTTATGTCAAAGATGGGAGAAAAATTGACCGTACCTCGTAAATTCTGGTATTCCTTTTATTGTTGCCTTATTGTATTATTTATTATTGCCATAATTTTTGGTATAGTAGTTGCGACTCATTCACACTATATACATTTGGCTTCCGCAACAAGGGTTTCCCCTTGAAGCCTAACATTAGGCGGAGAAAGCATCACACCTAGTCGCGCTATTTTCGCCTGAGCTTTGAGTATACTCGATGGTTCTAATTGAGCAGTGGCCACATACAGAGTAGTAGCAGTGACAATCTCATCCTCGGCATCAACTGGCCTTCGTGTCCCCTTGGCCAATTGAACCGGAGCATGTGTCGTGTTCTATAATTTCGTGACCGACCTTTCGCCATGCCAGCATCAGTGGCGCATGCTAGTTGCACCACTAGCGTACGCCTATATAGAGAGATGATATCATGTCATCGTGCACCGAGAGAAAAAGCTTTTGGTACAGGAGAGAAAAAAGTCCCTCAACTGTTAAAAAATTGAAACCACCCTCGTCGTCACTACTTAATGAAAAAAATGTGTATAGTGTATTTATATCATATAAGTAGGATTTTAGGAGGAGGACCAACTAATCTATTAACGGTCTAATTAGCATCCTATAAACCCTATTTAAATGTTTTAACTTTTTAACGATGGGAATTTAGCTTAATTCCCTTCCCTATACTTTCTTCCCATTGAGTTTCAGATAACAAATGATTATAAGAGAAAAAAATGATGTTTTGGTAGGAATTCTTAGAGTTGAATACTAACATCTTTTCGTGTACAAAATACTCTGAGAGGAAGAAACATTTCCTTTGTTTGCAAATCCAACTCACTAAAATTTCTACATCCAGCTTCATCATAAATCTGGATTGATCCTAAATTGTAAAAGTACAAAGTTAATTGTGCAACTATACCAGAAAAAAGAAATAACAGGATTTAAGATATGAATATAACACGATTTTTAATTTGTAAGTATTCAATAGAATAGTTGAGTTTCTGGCAAGCTAGTTTGACAGCGTATTATTAAAAAACATGCAAAAACAAATAAATGTACGTGGATAGTGATAGATGAAGTGTTCATATTATGGTTCAATCGAACCCTATACTTTTTACATGGAACATAGATATATATATATTGAAAAATTACTAATTTTTTTGTAAATAATAAATTCTAAACTCATAATTTTAATAGTACAAGGATGAATCCATTGAATTATAATTTTAAATCCGCCTACTGTGTGTGAAAGAAGTGGATAAGGATTAATTACTTGGGGAAACAATAGGAGGTGATTTGACATGGATTAGAAGAACTGTATGGCCTCTAACT